AGCTACCGGCATTAAAGTTGTGAGTGAGCGATTTGGCTACTGCATAAATTAGCTTGTTCTGGAGCCCTCCTTCCCGAGCGAAGGCAAAAATGTGTGAGCCGGAGGCTAAAAAACCGTGAGCCAGCTCACGCTAACTCAGCTTAGAGGGAAGACTGCTGCCAAGTGTCCCTGAGAGAATTCTCTCAACCCTTTCTGTCCCAGATCGTCTTGCATGCAGAGTTACAAAAGCCAACTGTTTTTAGGCCTGTCTGTAAAATCCAGACCCCAGAGGCACCTCCTAGCATCGGAGGGAGGGGGGTATAATAGAATCACATAAAAGAAGTTTTGTGGCTTGACTTCCTGATATTGTAATACACACTTAGTACTTTTTCCTGGATTAGAGCTGCCAGCAGCCAGGTGGGGCCTGGTGACCTTCCAGCATTACCACTGATCTCCAGTTGACAGCAGTCGACCCCCCTGAAGAAAAATGGCTGCTTTGGAGAGTGGACTCCATGGCATTATATCCCACTGAGGTCCCTGCCCTTTCCCAAACCCCGCCCTCCCCAGGCTCCACCCCCAAATCTCCAGAAACTTCCAAACCTGGAGTTGGCGACTGTATTTCCTGTGTTTTTTCCTGAATAAATGGCTTGTTGGAGAACTGGAAGGGGAGAACTGGAAGGGTAGGGAAAAGCCTGCATGGTTAACAAACAAAGTAATGGAAGCTGTAAAAGATAAAGAGGATTCCTTTAAGCGGTGGAAAGCTAGTCACAGTGAGGCTGATAAAACGGAACACAGGCTATGGCAAATAAAATGCAAGACTGTAGTCAGGCAGGCAAAAAAGGAATATGAGGAGCATATAGCAAAAAACGTAAAGACCAACAATAAAACTTTCTTCAAATACATTAGAAGCAGGAAACCAGCCAGAGAGGCAGTGGGGCCCTTGGATGACCAAGGGGTAAAAGGAGTGCTGAAGGATGATAGGGAAATGGCTGAGAAGCTAAATGCATTTTTTGCCTCTGTCTTCACTATGGAAGATGAGAAGTGCTTGCCCACTCCAGAACTGCTGATTTCGGGAGGGGTGTTGAAAGACCTGTGTCAGATTGAGGTGACGAGAGAGGAGGTCCTAAAACTGATAGACAACTTAAAAACTGATAAATCACCAGGCCCAGATGGCATACATCCGAGAGTTCTGAAAGAACTCAAATGTGAACTTCTGGATCTCCTTACAAAAATATGTAATCTTTCCTTAAAATCTGCCTCCATTCCTGAGGACTGGAAGGTAGCTAATGTCACTCCCATCTTTAAAAAGGGTTCCAGAGGAGATCCGGGAAATTACAGGCCAGTCAGTCTGACGCCAATACCGGGTAAATTGGTGGAAACCATTATTAAGGAAAGAATTAGTAGGCACATAGATGAACAAAATCTATTGAGGCAGACTCAGCATGGGTTCTGTAAGGGAAGATCTTGTCTCACTAACCTGTTAGTGTTCTTTGAGGGAGGGAGTGAACAAACATGTGAACAATAGATGTTGTTTATCTTGACTTCCAGAAAGTATTTGATAAAGTTCCTCATCAAAG